GGAACTAAGTAGTCTCCAATTCTTTAAATTTCCTCTGTGGTTATTTTAAGTACATTTTCTCTCTCTCTGTCACCATCTTTTCTGATGGAAAGGATAGAGTCTGGGCTAGCTAACAATTTATGTTTCATTACTTCTTTATTTAAAAAAATGTTTTTATTGATTTTAGAGAGAGAGGAAGGGAGAGAGAGAGAGAAACATCAACATGAGAGAGAAACATCGATTGGTTGCCTTGTGTACACACCCCAACTGGGACCGAACAGGTGACTGGCACTCAACCAACTGAGCCACTGGCCATGACTATTTTATTACTTTTTAAACAGATTTACTTTCATTCTTCCATTTATTGACATAAATATTTAAAGCTATGACTTTGCCTCTGAGCACTATTTAGCTCATGGTTCCTTCATTGTGGAGGGCTTCCTTGACATTCCAGGATGTCTGGCAACATCCCTGGTCTCCACCTACTAGATGCCAGTAGCCCCACCTCCCCACTTGTGACACCAAATGTCTTTGGATATTGTGAAAGATCCTCTTGTAGAAAGCAAATCATCCCAGCTCAGAGCCAACACTTTAGCTGTATTCTGTAAGTCCTGATAGCTAGTGTTGTTTCACTTTTTCTACATATTCTAAAATTTAGGTTTGCATTTTTTAGGTGATGCAGTTGTTTTTTAAGATTGGTTTTTAAATTCAAATTCTGAAAAACTATGGTTATTTCTTACATACCTTACAACTATTTTGGAGTCTTTCACCACAGTGTTACTAAAAATGGAGTTTGTTTTATTACCCAGGCTTTTTCCAGATGGTTTCCTGGATTACAAAGGAAAAGTGTTGAATTGCCACAGTCATTGCTATAGAAGTTCTGCATAGTCAACATTAACTGAACAGAATATATTCCAAGCATGTTCCAAGAATGTTGTGTAGACTACTTCATTTAATTCTCACAATATTGTTTGGTAGGTATTGTTATTTCCAGTTTCTAGATCGGGAGTCTGACTCTCAAAGATCTTATAGCTAATAAGTAGAGTGTAAATAGTTCCCATAAGGCCTTTAGTTATTGAGGAAACGGCTCAGTTCTGAGAGGGATTAAGAAAACATCAGGCCCATCTCTACTGGACAAAGCAACCCAGGTGCAACCCTGTGCGAAATGGCTGTTCCAGAGCTCAGTCTGTGGGAGGGGCCTCGCTGAGAGGGAAAGGCACCAGAGGTCAGGATGTCTGACAAGGAACAGCTCCGTGCCTATCTGATGCCGCCCTTCTGACGACACTGAGATTCCTCCCCAGGGGAAGAAGTCCCTTCATCATTGCTGCTAAATATCCTTTGTTTACTCTCTACTTGTGCAAGTTGAATAACTTTAACTCTTTCTTCTGGATTAAGAGCAGTGTTTTGGAATAGCTCTAACAAGCTTGGGCGGCGGGGGGGGCAGTGTAGCTAAAACTAATCTAGTCAGAATTTTCTTGCTGGTTTTTGATTTCCCACTTGCAGTGCCCAGAGACTTCACAGTATAATAAATTTCAAGGTTAATGAACAATAAGGGATCAGTTTTTTCAAATAATTTTTAAACTAGTAAAACTGGATCTCAGAAGATGACAGTATTAAAATACAATGGCAAAAGAGGCTCTTCACACTCAAGAAAATGTTTTCAAGGGGCTGCAGGTTGATGTTGGTCCACTCATAAAGTCCCAATTGAATGGGTTTCATTATGAAGTTTTTGACGAACGCTCCAAGAGTCTAAACTCAAGCAGACTGGAGAGTATGAGGAAGAAACACATTCTAAGAACACATTCTAAGAAATGGTCTTAAATGCACAGGAAGTTCAGAAGTACATGCATGGAGGATATGCAAACTGCAAGAATTCAAAATGGGAGGAGAGAGGGATGCTCTCTAAAAAAATTTTAAGATGTCAATAACACAGGTTTTTCATGTCAATATAAAATGTTTTCACTTCCAAGAATGAGGAAAAGCTAAAACATCTTCAGCTTGTTTTATTTGTGCTATATTCTCTTAATAATGTTTTTATTTATATTTAAATAAATTGACTTTAGAAAACAATTGTGCCCTTTAAAATAGATTCAAAAGTGAGATGACGTCTTATGCTGATGCCACATAGTACAGTGACCAAGTGGGTGTGACTTCTCAGGACCTTGGACTTGGCAGCACTGACTGGCATTATCGCTCTGTGCCAGCAGAGGGCGCTCTTACACTTGGCAGCACTGACTGGCATTATCGCTCTGTGCCAGCAGAGGGAGCGCTTGCACTGACTGGCATTACCGCTCTGTACCAGCAGAGGGAGCACCAAGTCCACCGCAATGACAGTGCGGTTTGCGCAACAGTGAATGGGGCGGGGTGCTCTTGAAGGGAAGCAGTTGCCCAAAATATGACTTTTGGAACATTAATTTTAAGCTGGTTAAGGAACAAAAGTCTCTGGAGAAAACCTTTGAACTCCCCCTAACTGCCTAATTCAGACAGAGGACCGCCCCGGGAAGGGGGACACTCAGTTTCCTACAGTTTGATTGAACTAACGCGCGACGCGCAGGGAGGAACCGGGGGCCCTGCGTTCAAAGCGCTCTGCGCCCCGCTCTTCAGGGCGGCAGCAGATACGCTCCTTCGCCAAACCCTGGCTTTTCCGCCTCCATGGACGCTGACCTTCTGCCTCTGGAGCCCGAAACGCAATGAGCACAGGCCTCAGGGGCTCGGGCCCTGGGTCTCCGCGCTCCGGCAGCCCCGGCGGGAATTCGCGGGAGCGCTCTGCGCGTTCTCTCCTGCTGACCCCTCCTCAGGTCCATCACTAGCTCACACAGAAGAGCTCAGAAGGTGGAGGAAACGTTATTTTTTTAGCCCTCACACTCTCAAACACTGTTATCACTGTGTCCAGAAAACAGGTACAAGGACGGCAGGTAGGCAGGTAGACAGACAGGTGAATAAATAAAAGTTTTAGTCAAAGAATTTGATAAATGTATAATACATACTTCTTCAAAGGTTAGTGGGAGAATTCGCCACTGTTTTATTCATTTACAAAATGCCAATATGCCGAAACGAACATAACATAAAGGACATGGGACATAATGTTTAAATTTAAGTACTAAAATGAACCTTTTATTTTATATTCACTATGTTAGATATTAAACTTACACCCAATCAATTAAATATATTATGATGAGTATAAAACGAGGTTTGGGCTCTTTGCACATTCCAGATTGAAGCCTTAGGTGCCCAGGATATTTTAACTTGGACTTAACATGCCCAGCCACGCCCTGCAGCATCCTGGCCACACACTCACATAACGCTGTTCTCTTTGCTTTACTTCCCTCACATCATTATGCTCATTGGAATTTTTTTTTTATAAAGTCAGTGCTTAATATGTCTTTATTGATTTCAGAGAGAGGAAGAGAGAGAGAGAGAGAAACATCAATGATGAGAGTCATTGATCAGCTGCCTCCTGCTCGCCCCCCACTGGGGATGGAGCCCGCAGCCGGGACCTGTGCCCTGACCCAGAATCCAAGGGCAAGCTCCTGGATCCTAGGTCGAGGCTCAACGGCTGAGCCACGCCAGCCGGGCTCATCAGAATTTTTTTAACCTGATTTTAAGGTGCTCATAATTGGACTAACCATGCTCCTTGGCTCATGACATAGTTACACTGATCTCTGCCTGGTTGTTCCTTTTGAGCCCCCAAATGGAACCCAAGAACTACATCACTCTTAATAGCTACACAAACCCACACGTCTTTCTCTCCTGTATCTCTGCCTCCCTCATACACGGTAACCATTACCCTAAATTTTGTGTTTAGCATTTCCTTGTTTTTTAAAATAGTTTTAACATTTTGGGTTTTTAACATTTCCTTATTTTTAAAAATAAGTCAATATATATGCATGTATGACCATATTTAGATTTAGTTCTTGAATTTTAAAAAGAGTGATCTTTAATTTGCCATTTTTAAAAACTCAACATTAAGATTTATTCATACTGATGTGGATACCTGTAATTTGCTGGTTTTCACATAATACCCCATTGTGGGTATGTATCACTCTCCTATCCAATGGGCATTTGGTTTTAGTCTGTTTTTTGTTTGTTTGGTAGGTCTTTGCTATTACCAAGGTGTTGTCAGGACTATGTCTCTATGGGTCCCCGTGCTTGGTGCAGGCATTCTCTTGCTGGGTGGTAGGGCACAGAGTGACCACTTCACTCCACCACAGTAATTATAAGTGAATTCTTGATCTACATCTCCTCCAACACTTAATATTTTTAGGCTTCCTAATTTCTGTAATCTGTTAAATAATTTTAAATGGTCCTAATTTGTATTTTCCTGATTAATGACTTTGAGAATCTCATCTTGTTAACTGGCTAGAAATAACTTCTTTTCTATGAAATGCTTGCTTGTATCTTTCACTCATTTTTCTGTTGGGTTGTTTTTCTTATCACTTTGTAGGAGCCCTTTATGTATCCATCCTTGTACCAATTCTTTGTTGGTTATTTGTATGCAGATCTCTCTACCAATTTATAACCTTTCTCTTAACTTTATGGTATCTTTTGATGAATCATATTTCTTAACTTTAATTTAACCAAATTTATCAATCTTTTGTTACAGAGTTAATGCTTTTTGCATGCTAAGAAACCTTTCCCTTTATTGAAGAGACCATCCTTTCCCCATAGTATATTCTTGGATATACATATAAAGGATGGCCTTTTTGGTAAATGCTGTTGGGACAACTGGATAGCCACATGGAAGAGGATGAAGCTGGGCCACTATCTTTATGCCATGAACAAAAATCAACTCAAAATAGATTAAAGACTTGAATAAAAGACCTGAAACCATAAACGTATTAGAAGAAAACACAGGGGTAGCTCCTGGATGTCAGTTCTGGCAATAATTTTTTGGATTTGGCAACAAAAACAAAATAAACAAGTGGGACTGTATTGAATTAAAAAGCTTCTGCACAGCAGTGGAAATAGACAGAATGAAAAGGCAATGTACAGAACAGGAGAAAACATTACAAACTACGTACCTGATAAATAGACAGCATCCGAAATACATAAACTCATACAGCTGAATATAAAAAGACAGTTTGATTTAAAAATGGGCAGAGGACTTAAATAACATTTTCCAAAGAAGATACACAGATATCCAACAGGTACATGAAAAGATTCTCAACATCATCCGTCACCAGGGAAATGAAAATCAAAACCACAAAATATCACCTCATAACCGTCAGAATGGCATCATCAAAAAGACAATAAACAACAAGTGCTGGCAAGGGTGTGGAGAAAAGGGAACCCTGTACACTGTTGGTGGGAACGTGAACTGGTGCAGCCACTGTGGAAACCAGTATGGAGGTCCCTCCAAAAATTAAAAATAGAAAAACCATATGATCCAGCAATTCCTCTCCTGGGTATATAGCCAAAGGAAACAAAATAATAATCTCCAAGAGATATCTGCACTCCCATGTTCACTGCAGCATTATGCATGACAGCCAAGGCCCTCGATGGATCAACAAATAAAGAAACTGTGGAACATTATTCAGCCTTAAAAAAGAAGGAAATCCTGCCACTTGAGAGAACATGGATGGGCCCTGAGGCATTATGCTAACCGAAATAAGTCAGACACAGAGAGGCAAATATATACCGTGTGCTCCCACTTTAGTGAGGAATCCAGAGGACAGACTGGCGGCTGCCAGAGGTGGGGGTAGGATGGGCAAAATGGGTGAAGGTGGTCAACCTTCCTATTATAAGATTAATTAGTCCTGGAATGTAATGCACAGCATGGTGACTGTATTAACAATGCCGTTTTGCATATTTGAATGTCACTAAGAGAGTAGATCTTAAAAGTTCTCATCACAAGAAAAACCATTTATAACTATGCATAGTGATGTAAACTTACTATTTGACCATTTCACAATATATACAAATAGCAAATCATTCTGTTGTATACCTAAAACCTGTAAATGTTATATGTCAATCATATCTCAATTAAAAAAATCTTTCCCTACCCTATGCTCAAAAAGTTGGTTGCCTACATTTTCTACAAATATTTTGTTCTTGATCTTTAAATTCTTACTCTGCCTTGAGTAGGTTTTTCGTATGTGGTGTTATGTTACGGGCTGAACAGTGTCCCCTGGCAATTCATATATTACAGTCCTAACTCCTAATACCCCAGAATGTGACTGTATTTGGATATAACGCCTTAAAGAGGTAACTGAGGTGAAATGAGGTCATGTGGGTGCATCCTAATACAATCTAAGTAGTGTTCTTATAACAGGAAGGTGGACATACACAGGGACACCAGTGATGCTGGAGCACAGAGAAAAGGCCACGTGAGGGACGGAGGGGGTGGCCCTCCGCCAGCCAGGGAGGGAGGTCTCAGGAGGAGCCAGCCCTGCCTACCCTTTGATCTTGGACTTCAGCTGCAGAACTGTGAGAAAATACATTTCTGTTGTTGAAGGCACCCAGTCTGTGGTATTTGCAATGGCGGCCTAGAAAAGGAATACAATGTGAGACGTGGATTTCACTTTGCTAATAAAACCATTTGTTTCCGGTCCCATTTAGTGGTGAGTGCCTCCTTTCGTCACCAATCCCTGGCACCCCCGTCACCTCTCAACATTCTACACGGATATGGACCTATTTCCAGGCCCTCTGGTCTAGTCCACTGGTCAGTCTACCCCCAGAGAGGACCAGGCTCCCCTAACGGCTACGGCTTCGTTACAGTCGTGCTGGCTGGTAAAGGCAGGCCACCCCGTAATTCTCCTTTAAAGTGACCTCGCTGTTTTTGATCACTTACAATTTCATATAAAGTTTACAAATCAGCTTTTCAAGTTTCAGTGAAAAATCCTATTTGTATTTTAACTGTATTAGCATTAAATCTATCGCACCAAAGAGAAATATTTTGTAATTAAACATTTGCCTCCATTTCCTTTTTTGTTCTATGGACCGCAGTTTTGGTTCTGTCCACATGACGGAACCACCGACAAAAAAAATCAAATTTCTACAGTTGCACAGGAGACCCCATAACGCGCATTCGGTATCAATTAAATGCCCAAGTGTTTTGGACGGCAGACCTGAATTTCATATAAAGTGTTCAGCTGCCTATCAAATTCTTAAGTACGTTTGGGAAGAATAAATACATTAGTATGTGATAAAGAACTGAAATAATACAATCTATTCTCCACGGTCCTTTAACCTTAAAAGACCACAACCGATTATAGATGAAAAATTCATTACCAGCCAATAAAACAAAGACACGGTGTAAAATTAGGTCTGGAAATGAAGGCAGCATTTTCTACACCTGCCAGCCCAGCACCGGCTGGGGAGCGAGGGTCCCCCAGGTGCACGCGAGCAGGGCGGGGCCACGTGACCTCGGCCTCGGCCGCGCCCCGCTCCCTCCCTCCCGCAGGGTCCCGTCGGGGGTCCCCTCCCCTCCCCTCC